GCAACAGTCTTTGAAACAGCTGTAAATATTCTGAGGCCAGAGAGATGGAATTCCCATAATGAAAGCTTAAGAAGGTTCCCCTTAACAATATCCGAGCCTTACCCGCTCCTAGGGGGTTCCCCTTCTTGTTCTCCCCTACTCACCCATGCGACCCTGCTCGCTGTGCCACTTGTTGGGGTACGTGCCGGGGGTGGTGGAGAATGAAAGAACACACAAAAGACAAAGACACACAGAGAACATGGCGGCCGCACTCAGAGCCTCCGCCTCACTTTATTTATACTCCATAAACCCCACGTCAGCAGAAAGAATGCAATGCAAAACAAACTTTCTTTTCCCAGATGTAAACTTCTACTCAGTTCTTTGTTTCTATGCTCTTCCTTATCTGCCCGCCTTCTTGGCGCCTACGGGAGTTCATTAAAAGTTCAATTGGAGATACTGTCTTTGAGCCCTATCTATTCTCAGCATACTGTTTTCAAAGGCCCTTGCAATGTATCAAAGTAATAACTTTATGACAAACCCACAGTCAATATCATGCTGAATGGGCAAAAACTGGAAGCATTCCCTTTGAAAACTGACACAAGACAGGGATGCCCTCTCTCACCACTCCTATTCAACATGGTGTTGGAAGTTCTGGCCAGGGCAATCAGGCAGGAGAAATAAATAAAGAGTATTCAGTTAGGAAAAGAGGAAGTCAAATTGTCCCTGTTTGCAGATGACATGATTGTATATTTAGAAAACCCCATTGTCTCAGCCCCAAATCTCCTTAAACTGATAAGCAACTTCAGCAAAATCTCAGGATAGAAAATCAATGTGCAGAAATCACAAGCATTCCTATACACCAGTAACAGACAAACAGCAAAATCATGAGTGAATTCCCATTCACAATTGCTTCAAAGAGAATGAAATACCTAGGAATCCAACTTACAAGGGATGTGAAGGACCTCTTCAAGGAGAACTACAAACCACTGCTTAACAAAATAAAAGAGGACACAAACAAATGGAAGAACATTCCATGCTCATGGATAGGAAGAATCAATATCGTGAAAATGGCCATACAGCCCAAGGTAATTTATAGATTCAATGCCATCCCCATCAAGCTACCAATGACTTTCTTCACAGAATTGGAAAAAAAAAAAAAAAAAACTACTTTAAAGTTCATATGGAACCAAAAAAGAGCCCGCATTGCCAAGACAATCCTAAGCCAAAAGAACAAAGCTGGAGGTATCACACTACCTGACTTCAAACTATACTACAAGTCTACAGTAACCAAAACAGAGATATAGACCAATGGAACAGAACAGAGACCTCAGAAATAATACCACACATCTACAACCATCTGATCTTTGACAAACCTGACAAAAACAAGAAATGGGGAAAGGATTCCCTATTTAGTAAATGGTGCTGGGAAAACTGGCTAGCCATATGTAGAAAGCTGAAACTGAATCCTTTCCTTACACCTTAAACAAAAATTAATTCAAGATGGATTAAATACTTAAATGTTAGACCTAAAACCATAAAAACCCTAGAAAAAAAACTTAGGCAATACCATTCAGACATAGGCATGGGCAAAGACTTCATGACTAAAACACCAAAAGTAATGGCAACAAAAGCCAAAATTGACAAGTGGGATCTAATTAAACTAAAGAGCTTCTGCACAGCAAAAGAAACTACCATCAGAGTGAACAGACAATCTACAGAATGGGAGAAAATTTTTACAATCTACCCATCTGACAAAGAGCTAATATCCAGAGTCTACAAAGAACTTAAACAAATTTACAAGAAAAAAATCAACCCCATCAAAAAGTGGGCAAGGGATATGAACAGACACTTCTCAAAAGAAGACATTTATGCAGCCAACAGACACATGACAAAATGCTCATCATCACTGGCCATCAGAGAAATGCAAATCAAAATCACAATGAGACACCATCTTGCACCAGTTAGAATCGCAACCATTAAAAAGTCAGGAAACAACAGGTGCTGCAGAGGATGTGGAGAAATAGGGATACTTCTACACTGTTGGTGGGACTGTAAACTAGTTCAACCATTGTGGAAGACAGTGTGGCAATTCCTCAAGGATCGAGAACTAGAAATACCATTTGACCCAGCCATCCCATTACTGGGTATATACCCAAAGGATTATAAATCATGCTGCTGTAAAGACACATGCACACGTATGTTTATTGCGGCACTATTCACAATAGCAAAGACTTGGAACCAACCCAAATGTCCATCAATGATAGACTAGATTAAGAAAATGTGGCAGATATATACCATAAAATACTATGCAGCCATAAAAAAGGATGAGTTCATGTCCTTTGTAGGGACATGGATTAAGCCAGAAACCATCATTCTGACCAAACTATCGCAGGGACAGAAAACCAAACACTGCATGTTCTCACTCATAGGTGGGAATTGAACAATGAGAACACCTGGACACAGAGTGGGGAACATCACACACTGGGGCCCGTCGTGGGGTGGGGGTAAGGGGGAGGGACAGCATTAGGAGATATACCTAATATAAATGACGAGTTTAATGGGTGCAGCATACCAACATGGCATATGTATACATATGTAACAAATCTGCACATTGTGCACATGTACCCTAGAACTTAATGTATAACAGAAAAAAGACTCTACATCTATATTTTTTATGTATTACCTATACACCAGACTAATTTGTTACTCTTTTGAGATAGGTGATTTAATCACTTTTCTTTTTTTAAAAAGAATGAACCATTTTTTAAAATTTGAGGCTGTGAAGATCATGCTAAATTACTGAGTTAACGAAAGAAAATATTTTTCTTAAAAAAAAGCATAGAAGTCTTATGACCATAGCCAAAGAATGATGAAAGAGAGATTGTGTGTTAAAAGCACACTACTGCAACCATTCCATCACAATCATTCTCAGGAAAAAATGATGGGTCAGAAGGAATTTTTAGAATTTTTTTTGATTCTATATGTGCTTCATTCTTTTTCTTTTTTCTTGTTTTGAGATGGGACTTCGCTCTTGTTGGCCAGGCTGGAGTGCAATGACACGATCTTGGCTCACTGCAGCCTCCGCCTTCTGGGTTCAAGTGATTCTCCTGCATCAGCCTCCCGAGTAGCTAGGATTACAGGTGCTTGCCACCACACCCAGCTAATTTTTATATTTTTAGTAGAGCTGGGGTTTCACCATGTTGCTCAGGCTGGTCTCGAACTTCTGACGTCAGGTGATCCATCGCCTTGGCTTCCCAGAGTGCTGGGATTACAGGCATGAGCCACTGCACCCAGCCCATTGTTTTTCATATAGAAATCTATACTTCAACAAAAGATGCCGTGAATTTCAAGTTAACATGCTCACACATACATATTCTCCCTAGAAAGCTACTGCTGTGTTTACAGTAAATATGTAACATTTCTGATCTTTTGGCTGCTGTGTTTGTGTGAAATAAGAAGACAGCAAGTAAAGCAGAGTCAACCATGACTTTCTAGTTTCAACAGCCACAGATTCTGAAATTTAATGTTATGTCAACTGGAATAATGACAGTATTTCAAAACTGGAAAAAATTGATAACTTTATATTTTTAGTTAATTATAGTTCATAAAAACTAGTTTCTGAATTGTTACATGTTAAACAACTTGAAAATGCAGATATCTAAAAGTTTCATCTAGATGATAGTATTACTAGATGAATTACTAATATTAAGAGTGCTTAATTGTGAATCAAATTTGCTTCTTTGTGTTTCCTGGAAAGCAGTTATTTATCTTCTACGTGTAAATAAAGGAAAGGCTCTTTGTAATACTAATCATACAGATCTCCTAAAATTAGCACTATTTTTAGATTTGAATAAAATTCATAGGCCTGTAAGTAATGTAAATGTTAATATTTCTTTCTAATAAAAGTGAAATAGCAATAGAAATAAGTTGTTAAAATGAGTTTTAAAAGCTTCACGTATTTATTAAATAACATTTAATGCCACATTATAAGTGACTAATCAGTAATTTCAATCTATTCACTGTGAAGACTTAATATTCTTAAATTATTCAATTAAAAAAAGCTATACTCTTTCTGAAATTTTCAGAAACTGTAGACCATTCAATATATAATAATGTACATGGATACCACAGATATTCTATATAATAATAGGCTCATTCTTGCTTTTAATATAAAAATTCAATATATTTCAAAAGTGAAATTGGTGGCTCCTAGAAATCATGAGAGGAAAACCATTGTTAGTATCCGTTTACCAAAGCGTACTAAGCTTAGCAATGAGTACTTTTTTTTTCTTTGTTTCTTTTTTTTTTTTGAGATGGAGTCTCGCTTTGTTTTCGAGGCTGGAGTGCAGTGGCGGAATCTCAGCTCACTGCAGTCTCCACCTCCCGGGCTCAAGCAATTCTGCCTCAGCCTCCTGGGTAGCTGGGATTACAGGTGCCCGCCACTATGCCCGGGTAATTTTTTGTGTTTTTAGTAGATGGGGTTTTACCACGTTGACCAGGCTGGTCTCAAACTCCTGACCTCAAGTGATCAGCCCGCCTCTGCCTCCCAAAATGCTGGGATTACAGGTGTGAGCTACTGTGCCCAGGCAGTAATGAATACTTTAAACCAAAAATCAAGTTGTAAATACTATCTATGGGTAAAAAGAAGTGGTTTTTAAATTTCTATGCATTTCTATTAAATTAAAAAAATTTAAAGCCAAAATGTAGGTCAAGAATAAAAACAAGCATTGGTTGAAATAGGGTTGAACATAATGGTTAAAATTGAAACTCAGTATTTGGTTGTTCCTGATTGCATCCCAGTTCGGCCACTTACCGGTTGTATGACCTAAACACAGTTTTTTGCCTCTCTGTGCATGGCTCTTCAGCTGTACAGTAAGGATAACAGTGTCTAAATCCTAGGGTTTTGGTAAAATTTAAAAAGTTAATGCAAATAAAGGTGCCAGAAAAATGCCCAGTACCTAGCTAGTGTACAGGAAATGTATTAGCTCTTATTTCTTCATTCTGGTAGATCATGACAAATGTTAAGCCTGAAAACAAGACGGCCATACCACTGGTTTGTAACCCACATTCATTCTAATTTGTCCATCTGGGGCTATAATAGTAGTTGAAAGTTTCTAATACTATCCTTGGCAAATTCCCATATATTCACATACAGCATGGATATAAATATTATGAAAAACTGTCTCATTGAGAACTGCTGTCTAGGACACTAGTAACACTAGATATACAACCACTTAAATGCTGAGTGTCTGTTTTATAGTTAGATAATTAAGCAAATTGTTTCATTGCTTGTTTAATAAACTTATGATTTTTGTTTATTTGGTTAAATTTATTTATTCATTTATTTATTTAGAGACAGAGCCTCACTCTGTCATCCAGGCTGGAGTGCAGAGGTGTGATCTCGGCACACTGCAACCTCTACCTCCCAGGTTCAAGCAATTCTCCTGCCTCACCCTCCCGAGTAGCTGGAATTACAGGCACCCGCCAACACATCCAGCTAATTTTCTGTATTTTGGGTAGAGACAGGGTTTCACCATGTTGGCCAGGCTGCTCTCAAACTCCTGACCTCAGGCTATCCACCCGCTTCTGCCTCCCAAAGTGCTGGGATTACAGACGTGAGCCACCGCACCTGACCTAAATGTATTTTACATATATATATTTAAATAACTTTTTTTCTCTAACAAGTGAAAAAAATTATTTACAAATTTAGAGAGGTTTTACTCCAAACAGTTGTTTACAGTCTGTCTTTTAAGTTATTATATTATTTTGAACATTAAAAATCAACATACTTTGTTGGTTCAGACTATTCATAATTTTAAAAGTTTACTACTGGCCGGGCGCGGTGGCTCAAGCCTGTAATCCCAGCACTTTGGGAGGCCGAGACGGGCGGATCACGAGGTCAGGAGATCGAGACCATCCTGGCTAACACAGTGAAACCCCGTCTCTACTAAAAAATACAAAAAAACTAGCCGGGCGAGTTGGCGGGCGCCTGTAGTCCCAGCTACTCGGGAGGCTGAGGCAGGAGAATGGCGTGAACCCGGGAGGCGGAGCTTGCAGTGAGCTGAGATCGTGCCACTGCACTCCAGCCTGGGCGACAGAGCGAGACTCTGTCTCAAAAAAAAAAAAAAAAAAAAAAGTTTACTACTTACATCACTAACTGAACATGCTATTTGAAATAAAATGTGTATGTTTTCTGAAATTTTAAGGTGAACGAACACTTTTTTCTCTGGTGCAATTTCTTAAAGTTTCTCTCATTTTAAAAAAACCCAGTAGTAATAGTACTTTTGATTGGCAAATCAGAGTTGTATAATTTATGGGGTACAATGTGATGTTTCAATATATGCATATAATATAATAATATAAGTCAAGTTTAATAACGTATCTATCAACTTGCTTACTAATCTTTTTTGTGGTGGTACATTTGAAATTTAGTTATTTTGAAATACAGTACTTGGCCAGGCACCGTGGCTCATGCCTGTAATCCCAGCACTTTGAGAGGCCAAGGTGGGCAGGTGGATCACCTGAGGTTGGGAGTTCAAGACTCAGCCTGACCAACGTGGAGAAACCCCGGCTCTACTAAAAATACAAAATTAGCCAGGCGTGGTGGTGCATGCCTATAATTCCAGCTACTCGGGAGGCTATGGCAGGAGAATCGATTAAACCCAGGAGGCAGAGGTTACCATGAGCCGAGATCATGCCATTGCACTCCAGGCTGGGCAACAAGAGCGAAACTCCGTCTCAAAAAAAAAAAAAAAGAAAAGAAAAAAAAAAGAAATACATAGTACTTTATAGTTGACTATAGTCACCCTGCTGTGCAATAGATCTGGAAATCTACTTATCCTTTCTATTTAAAACCTTGTACCCTTTGATCAACAACTTCCTATTTCCTTCCCACCACACCCAGCCTCAGGTAAACATTATTCCACTTTCTACTTTTTTGAGTTAGAATTTGTTAGATTTTACATATAAATGAGATCATGCAGTATTTGCCTTTTTGTGTCAGTATTATTTCAGCTAGCATAATTCTTCCAAATTTATCTATATTGTTTTAAAGGGCTAGATTTATCCCTTTTATGGCTGAATAGTAGTCCATTGTGTATTTATACTTATACTTTTTTTTTTTTTTTTGAAATGGAGTCTCAGTCTGTCACCCAGCCTGGAGTGCAGTGGCACGATCTTGGCTCACTTCAACCTCCACTCCCAGGTTCAAGCAATTCTCCTGCCTCAGCATCCCAAGTAGCTGGGACTACAGGTGCCCACCACCACGCCCGGCTATTTTTTCTATTTTTTAGTAGAAATGGGGTTTCCCCATTTTGACCAGGCTGGTCTCAAACTCCTGACCTCAGATGATCCACCCACTTTGGCCTTCCAAAGTGTTGGCATTACAAGTGTGAGCCTCTGCGCCCAGCCTAACAATCATTTTTAATAAAAATTAACACATTGAATAATTGAATACATTTTCATTGTTATATATGTGTGTAAATGTATAAAATGGTACACGAAAAAGAAATAAGCCAGAAAAAATATGTTAATATTTGTAATAAAATAGGAAGGTAGTTAATTATTATTTGTAAATGATATCTTTGTTTACTTAGATAAAAAAAGAAACTACAAGACTACTTTAATAGTCTATTCAGGTGGGGAGGCAAAATTCTAAGGTGGTCACCAGGATTCCCAATCTGTTGCACACCTGCTGTGTAATCCTCTCCTTTGGCGTGTAAAAAAAAAAAAGTGACTGTAGTGGAAAATCATACATGAAATTAGGTTGCTAATGTATTGACTTTGTGTTCATCAAAAGAGAGATTATCCTGATTGGGCTAAACTTAATCAGAGGTGCTTTCAAAAGAAAGACACATTGTAGAAAAACACCCCTGCTGGCCTGGAAGTACGTGACTTCTAGGTGGAGCATATTGTAAGCTGCTCTTGGTGGCCACATGGCAGGAAACATGTTTGTATATTGTCATCATTCCTGCCTCCCACATGTTGCTTCCAATAGGGAGGAAGGGAGGATCCCATGGCAGAGATAAAAAGGGGATCTCCTTCATGCAAGAAATAATCACTTCTCATCTGGGATAGCTTAAGATAAACAGAGGAGACCACAACATGAGCACATCAATGGAAGGAAAAGGGCAATCTGGCTGAAAGGGCTCTCTGGCATGATGAAGCAACAGTTACTAGGTCATAGTGAATGATCAACTTCTGGGATAGCAATAGTCAGCCAAGAAAGCTGAACTCATTCTTATTCTGATTAAATCAGTGTATCTGCACCATTCTGGTGGCCCACTGTTACACTACACATTACAGAAATAACATGGAGACCAGTGAATAACTTCTTAGAATTGAGCTTATCATGAAAAAGCATATCTTATTTGTTTTCACAATTGAAAAACCTCAAAAACATAATGAATCTATTAATAATGAACTTCTCATTTTAGAGGATTCTACTATGCTGTCATATAATATTAAACTTTAAACACTTTAATATTAATATGTCTTGAATGCATAAACAGTATGCAGATAATTTCTCTTAGATTAACACGATAAAAGTAACAATTAGAAAAAACATTTTGAAATGGGATAGAATTCATCAAAATCACATCTTTTCAGTGGTTTAGCATAATTGCCGTGCTTTTCGAAATGGCTAGATTATTAACAAGAAGCAAAGACAGTCTCGGCTTTGTTCAATCATTAAGTTCTTGTCCATTTAAAATCTAAAATTCTGGCTAAAGGATTTAAAGGCTGTATTCTTTTTTCTTTTTTCTTTTTTTTGAGATGGAGTCTTGCTCTGTTACCCAGGGTGGAGTGCAGTGGCACAATCTCGGCTCACTACAACCTACGCCTCTGGGTTCAAGTAATTCTCCTGCCTCAGCCTCCCAAGTAGCTAGGACTACAGGAGCATGCCACCATGCCTGGATAATTTTTGTATTTTCAGTAGAGACGGGATTTCACTATGTTGGCCAGGCTAGTCTCAAACTTCTGACCTCGTGATCCACCCACTTAGGTCTCCCAAAGTGCTGGGATTACAGACATGAGCCACCACGCCCAGGGTAACTTTACTTCTTTTCTTTTTTTTTTTTTTTTTTTTTGAGTCAGAGTTTCGCTGCTGTTGCCCAGGTTGGGATGCAATGAAACAATCTCTGCTCACCACAACCTCCGCCTCCCGGGTTCAAGCGATTCTCCTGCATCAGCCTCCCGAATAGCTGGGATTACAGGCATGCATCACCACGCCCGGCTAATTTTATATATTTAGCAGAGACACGGTTTCTCCATGTTGGTCAGGCTGGTCTCGAACTCCCGACCCAAGGTAATCCACCCGCCTCAGCCTCCCAAAGTGCTAGAATCACAGGCGTGAGCCACCACGCCTGGAGTAACTTTATTTCTTTAAGAAGTCATTTTAGCCGGGCGCGGTGGCTCAAGCCTGTAATCCCAGCACGTTGGGAGGCGGAGACGGTCGGATCATGAAGTCAGGAGATCCAGACCATCCTGGCTAACACGGTGAAACCCCGTCTCTACTAAAAAATACAAAAAACGCCGGGCGCGGTGGCTCAAGCCTGTAATCCCAGCACTTTGGGAGGCCGAGACGGGTGGATCACAAGGTCAGGAGATCGAGACCATCCTGGCTAACATGGTGAGACCCCGTCTCTACTAAAAATACAAAAAACTAGCCGGGCGAGGTGGTGGGCGCCTGTAGTCCCAGCTACTCTGGAGGCTGAGGCAGGAGAATGGCGTAAACCCGGGAGGCGGAGCTTGCAGTGAGCTGAGATCCGGCCACTGCACTCCAGCCTGGGCGACAGAGCGAGACTCCGTCTCAAAAAAAAAAAAAAAAAAAAAAAAATACAAAAAACTAGGCGGGCGAGGTGGCTGGCGTCTGTAGTCCCAGCTACTTGGGAGGCTGAGGCAGGAGAATGGCGTGAACCCGGGAGGCGGAGCTTGCGATCCGGCCACTGCACTCCAGTCTGGGCGACAAAGGGAGGCTCCGTCTCAAAAAAAAAAAAAAAAAAGTCATTTTAAATATAAATTTATTAAACTACTTAATGAAAAGAAATGTAATTTCAGGACTTTAAGAGGTCAAGGTGGGCTGATTACTTGATTCCAGGAGTTTGAGAACAGCCTGAGCAACGAAGCGGAAGCCTGTCTCTACCAAAAAACAAAACATACAAAAAAACCCAAAAAACTAGCCGGGTTTAATGGCATGGGCCTGTAACCCAGCTACTTAAGAGGTTGAAACTAAAGGATTGTTTGAGTTTGAGAGGCTTGAGGCTGCACCTCACTGCCATGATCACACCACTGCAAACCAGCCTGGCTGACAGAGTGAGATGAGACCCTATTTCATTAATTAATTAATTAAAAGGAAAAAAAAGAAGATGCCTGAATGACTTAAGAAAAAAAGCATACAATATGTTCTCTACAAGAGACCAATTTTAGCACTGAGTCAAAGAGTCTGTAAGTAACAGAATAAAAAAAAAATCTATATTTCATGCAAATAATAGCCACAATTGGGTGAGGTAGTCATGATTATATTGGACATATCATGCTTTAAGTCAAGTACTAGTATGAGACAAAGATTAATATTATATAATAGTAAAATGGGTCAATTTACCAGGAATCTATAACTGTCATATTTATGTGTATAGGTATGTATAACAGGGCTCCAAAATATACAAATATTGACAAAGGTGAAGCAAGAAATATCATAGCAACATAATAGTTGCTGATACTGAGACCCCATTTTCAATAATAGAAAATTCATATAAAAGATTAAGAAAACAGAAAATGTAGATAACATTCTAGACTGTAATATTTTGCATATAGAGAAATATCTGAGAGTAGATAATTTATAAAGAAAAAAGTTTATTTGGCTCACATTTCAACAGACTGTACAAGTGTGTGCCGGTATCTGTTTCTGGTGTGTTCTCAGGAAGCTTACAATCATAGGGGAAAGCGAAGAGAAACTGGACATATCACATGGTAAGTGATAGAGCAAATGTGAGGTAAAAAAGCCAGGTTCTTTTAACATAGTTTCTCAAAACTATACAGACATTTGTGCATCCCCAATATGGAAAAGCAGTCAGATTGTTGAGTCCTTTATATGCCATGAACTCGACTTTGGCTCTCATTGTAAACCTGAAGGGAAATCACTACAATGAAAATAGAACCCTTGGAGAACTTTAAAGCATAAGACAGAAGATGCCTCTACGTGATAGTAAAATTTAAAAAATCTCAGTCTTCTCAGAAACTACTTCCTTTGGAGCACATCTTCTCAGGTCACATTTTGAGAACTGGCTTTCTCCTTGACCTCTGGACCTCTCATCTGTGGTGTTTGTTGTATTCACTCTCACATACCTGGGGGTTTAGTTATCATCTCATGTCTCTTCATATTCCAAGACTCTTTCCCTTGCTTCAGACAAGTCATCAACTCTAGCTTAGAGACAGCAATACCTGTTTTATTAAAAATAAATAACATAAATATTGCTCATATTCCCCAAATAATGTGCTCATTAAAGAGAATGTAATAGAATATTCTAGTAAATTGATCCCCAATACTAATTTATAACATATATTTCTAAATATTTAGAAAATATTTTCAATTTGTACAGTCCCTTAATTTTACTACCCGGTACTACTGAACCAAAAATTGGTGGTGGCAATGAGATTTTAAGATGTGGGCAACTATGTTTTATGCGCTAAATTTCTGCAATTTTCACTAATCTAGAGTGAAAAATGCAGATCTGCTCAGAAATATGGAAAGTTCAGGTAAAAATGAAATATCTTTTAAAAATTCCTTTCTGGCCGGGTGCAGTGGCTCACGCCTGTAATCCCAGCACTTTGAGAGGCTGAGGCGGCCGGACCACCTGAGGTCAGGAGTTCGAGACCAGCCTCAACATGGAGAAACCCCGTCTCTGCCAAAAATACAAAATTAGCCGGGTGTGGTGGTTCATGACTGTAATCCCAGCTACTCGGGAGGCTGAGGCAGGAGAATTGCTTGAACCTGGGAGGTGGAGGTTGTGGTGAGCCAAGATCATGCCATTGCACTCCAGCCTGGACAACAAGAGTGAAACTCCATCTCAAAAAAAAAAAAAAAAAATTCCTTTCTACACTTACAAATCCCTGTTTTCAGAAAACAGGTATCTGAAACTCATTTTTGCTAAGTATAAGTCACCAAAACACATTCTACAGAAAAGAGAAATGAAACCTATAGAATATAATAGGAATTGTTTAATTAAAATTATCCTCACCCAGGAAGACCAAGTTTCTGTAGTTCTCTAACATAAAATCCCTATATAAATTCTGCTGAGCCGTGTCCAGGCATTGCCACTCCTCCAGAGAGAATTCTATGGTCACATCCCGAAATGTCAATGATCCCTGAAAAACACACCTAAGATACATATATATTTCCCAAGTGGCCATGGACAGAATTTTTAATTTGACTCAAGGTGAAATGAGAGAGTTAAGAGAACAGGTTCTCTTAGGGATGACTGAACGTATGTAATAAAATAATTTTCAACACAGAAATATTCTCTAATGTATTATCAAACTCTGAGAAAAAAAGAATGGCATAAGATCCACAACGCCAGTGTAGATAAGATACTTTTCTGGATAATAAAGTATAAAATTAAGGACATGATAACAAACATGTACATTTTTGAGTGCTATTTTTTAAATCATACAAAATAAATCTTGTACACTTTTCAGATGAAAAAGACATGTTGAGTTAGAAGACACCTCTCAAATTTTATGTGTAGAACTAACTGGACATCTTGTTATGCATATTTATTTTAGAAGATCTGGAATAAAGTCTGAGTTTCTGAATTTGACAAGCTCACCAGTAATGCCTGTTTTTGGCCCCAAAAGAATATTTTGTCAAACATTCAGCCAGTGGAGGAGCCTGTGTTTTTCCCAGTTTTTCTGGCCTATAAACAAAGATGAGAGCCCTCATTTTCCACAGATAGATATATGCAAAGAAAATCTAAGAAAGAAAGGCAGGTGCCAGATTAAATGTGATCATTGGTGCACATCAGCTACATAAAGATACTTAATAATGAGGAGAAAAATAATTAACTCTATAGTGAAAAAATCTGTCAGAGAGCTTTTTTTTTTTTTTTTTTTTTTTTTTTTAAGACAGAGTTTCTGTCTTGTCGCCAAGGCTGGGGTGCAGTGGCGGGATCACCACTTACTGCAACCTTCGCCTCCCGGGTTCAAGCGATTCTCCTGCCTCAGCCTCCCGGGTAGCTGGGACTACAGGCATGTGCCACCGTGCCCAGCTAATTTTTGTATTTTTAGTAGAGACAGGGTTTCACCATCTTGGCCAGGCTGGTCTCAAACTCCTGATCTTATGATCCACCCTCCTCAGCCTCTCAAAGTGCTGGGATTACAGGCGTGAGCCACCGTGCCCAGCCAAGTGGCACATTTTTCATGTTGCAGATCATAAATTCATCATTAGAGTCCTGCATGGCATATAAAAATCCATGATGTAGAGAATGTAGAGAAGGCTCTGGTATATAGGAAAGAAATTATTTTTCAGAGATTCTTCACTATCATAAGAATTTTAAAAAGTAGTTGAACTCATTAGGGATGAAAAGCACAAGTAGAGAAGTAAAGTTTTGCAAGGACTAAATGCATGGCATTCCAGGAGGCAGAGTGGACATGGCTCTTCAGTTGAAAAATGTTTAGCTGAAAAAAAACCATTTTTTTTCTCTTTCTCCTCTTTCTCTTGGATTCCTTCTCAGATAAGATTCTCTGGACAAATTACACCTGCATCTTGAAAATATGCCTTTAAAGGTGTCACCACTACGTTCTTACTTGCTACCACCACATCCACAGGCAGACGGACCAAGACCTACAGGTAAAGTCCATCCATTTCTTTCCTTTATAAGAGAAGAGATTCCAGAACAATGAGCTGCCCTATGGAGTTAAAAATGTTTCTCCTTTCCTGTCCTCAGGTGCCCTCCCCTGTCATAGACATGAGCAATTTTTGCTACATAAATGGAAATATGGGCCACGCTGTCCTGTCCCTACCAAACCCAAACAGAATAGGCCCTGTGACCACCCTTTAGTGAAAAGGTGGAACTTAACTCCCATTAACGTATTTTAAACGTCTCATACTTGATTCTGGCCTCACCTTAAGAGTCACAAGAGGCCCTTAATTAAAACAACATGGATGCTTCCAGGACAATAAATAGAACCTGTGGGGAGGGCACAACTGGAGATTTCTGCAAATAGACCATGTAATTTTAATTAGAAGCCTGGGCTCATAACCACTTAGCTAAACATTGCCTTGAAACTTCAACGAGCTTATAAATCACTTGGTAATTTTGGCCCCACTCTATATAATATGATTCTGCAGGTTTTGAAAGGGTTCATAAATGAGTGTTTTAAACAAGTTCCCTGTCAATGCTGATGTTGCACACTCTGGGCTCAACATTAGCATTAGTTAGAGAAAACAGGCACAGTTCACAGTCCCTTACACTCAGTACTCTTGTCACAACACAAATACTTCTGGTACAAATAAAGACAACCAATCTGCATCCTAAAGTATTATATTTTTTTTCCTGGCTCTTTAAAGTTTACAAACTAAACAGAAGGCAGCAATGTCTGAATAGGTCTGCATTTGGAAAACAACATGTACACTCGCACTATGCAATGTTTACTAAGTAGGTACTATGTGCTCAAGAGGATGTTACAGAGCACTGTGCTGGGAATAACACATTATGTGACTTAATCCTCATAACACCCTGGGAGTTGGTACTAGGTGTTAATAATTCCTAGGATTTAGATACAGGGCCCAACAGTTTTATTTCTCCTTCTGTTTCTCTGTCATTGATTTTTAAAAAATGTATAGAATAAAAGCTAAATGTAGACAGATGAGAGGAATACAGAAGAGTTTAATATAATTTTTTAAAAATTCTAATCTTGTTTATATTTACTTATTTGTGACTTGCGGAGAAACTACTGGATCTGCAGGAATAGAAAACAAGTTAGTAAATGGAATGTCTCTGCAACACTGGTTTTAATAAAACATTTAAAAATTAGAACCCTAAAAAACATACTTTATCTGTTCCATTTACCTTTTTAGTTTCAGAAAATTGTGAGCACCAGCTCTAGAAAGGCAGCAGGATTCACCAGCCAAAACTCCAATCTCTTTTAATCAGTTCTGTGAGGCAAGACTCCAGGGTGGGACCTGACCTAAATAAGACATCCGAAAATGGTGGATCTAAACAGAACTGAGCCAGGGAGTGGACCCTACGTAGAATTCTGTTCTCTCTGCTACTAGGCATACTTCCAGTTCTGTTTTTCCTAAGCTTACCTAAGAGAAACTTAAATCCCAGAGTTTGTGTAATTTAAATTTCTTTTTAGCCACTGTCCTGTCAATTTTATGGCATGTGCTAATAAGCAATTTAAACAAGTCTTTTAAGGTTCCTAGGGCAATTTTATTAAAATATATGTATTCTACCAAGGTAAAAGCATTAACAATTCTTCTGTTCATAGACATCCCTTCAGGTGATGACGCAAGTCACAAGAATATAAAGAAAGTAGTCCAAATAAGGCCCAAGTGTTTCTGCACACATCTGTTTATTGTACCAACCATATGCTGATGTTTAATTCAACCATGTATCCAGTTGCTAGTCTAGACTATAAGTTCCTGGGTGGTAGGGGCCGTAACTGCTTCATCTATTTTTTTTAATGGCCATATGAAATGGAAGCTATTAGTTTATCTGTCTGAGTCTCAGGATCTCCTTCTTGTTTTTCACCCAAGTACCAAGAAACTGGAGAAACTCTCATCTAGTTACCAACCAAAGATCTCTCTTGTATGAGGGTAGGAACAAACACAGGATGACTTATTCTTCTTACACTGAGACAGAAGCAGAATTAACCACTCATGTCAGCCTAACACAGTTCTGCTCTGGACATCCTCAAATGTCTCAAAGATGTCTAGGTGATTGTGAGAGGGTTTCCAGTGACTCTGGGCTAATGACCCAATGATAAGTCAGGCAGAAGAGACTCAGGCTGATTATAAGTAGAAAATGGAACTGCCCTGATTAAGCTCCAGAATCTAGATCACCTCTCCTGATTTGTTAGCTCTTGGGTAACAGAAATAACAATACTGTACTCCAGTGTCACATTTTACAGGTAGGTATAGCTGTGGTCATGGCTCTGGATACTCTGCGGCCTTGATCTCTCACTCCTAAGATGGCTGTTTATACTTACAGATTCTGTCATCAGATTCTATTTATACCTGGAGTCTCTCACATACCTGTAACAGGTCACTGGAGAAGATCTGAAAAGCTCAGAGCCACACTCTCAAAGGCAAGATTTAAGATGTCTATGTTGACATCTCGCAATACAGAAAATGTCCTCTGTTGGTTTTCTATACATTCTCGATTCAAAGTCTGGCTCTGTCTTGTAAATCTTGGGCACAGGCCAGACCTTGTGTGCGGATTCCAGGTGGGATCAACCTTGGCTCTGCATCCTTGGGTGTTAGAGCAAGCAGAGATCCCCTCATAGAGGCTGCTCTGGCACATTCTAAATAATGTGTCTACCTAAAAGGAAAAAGCTGAGGAAACATAGATATAAGTTGACGGTTTATTTGGGCCAAGCTTGAGGACTGTAACCTGGGAGCAAATATTCAAGTTGCCTGAAATATATACTTGATTAGCAGTGTGATTACAAGTTGATTTGTAAAGGCTAAAAAAGATGGACAGAAAGTGAGTCGATACAAAGTTGTTTTTCAGAAATTTCTATTTATTTACAGGAATAACACTGATTATTGATTGGATATACACCATTAAGTTTTAGGGTACAAGTTATAGTGTCCAGTGTGGCATTATTAATATGCAGCTACTTGTGGCAATAGTGAATAGCTTCAAAAGGCGAATACATAGTTCAAAAAACAAACAGAGGGCCAGATGTGGTGGCTCGTGCCTGTAATCCCAGCACTTTGGGAGGCTGACAAACATGGAGAAACCCCATCTCTACTAAAATACAAAATTAGCCCAGCGTGGTGGTGCATGCCTGTAATCCCAGCTATTTGGGAGGCTGAGGCAGGAGAATCACTTGAACCCGGGAGGCGGGGGTTGCAGTGAGCTGAGTCTGGGCAACAAGAGTGAAATTCTGTCTCAAAAAAAAAAAAAAAAAAAAAGAGAGAGAGAGAGAAACAGAATTCTACTCTCATTTTAATGTCTCTATAAGTTTGACAACTAAAAGGACTTGAATCTCTCAGAAAGTTTTTCTTTTTTCTCAAATCTGAAAACCTAGATTCAGACTTTGAAGTTGCAGTTTTAGGTCCTGAATGGATGGAATAGCAGCAGGTGTTCCCTGCACATTTGTGAGCATTTTAACAAGAAGAAGAAAAAGGAAGTAGAGATTCCCATGTGTACATGTCTACTCATTGCACACATATTACTGTGATTGGGTTTCTGGGTCCCATGGTCTGTGAATCAGTTTCAGGTCTGAAGATAAAGAGTCATTGAAAAAGGTAAAATGGTTGTTTGCTGCCCTGTGAAGTTTGTAGAATTCTCTAAAAGTTACTGTGGAGGACTATAGATACCAAATTGGCAGAATAAGAGGAATGTGAGAAGAATTCCCTATTTAATAAATGGTGCTGAGATAATCACCTAGCACTATGTAGAAAATTGAAACTGGACCCCTTCCTCACATCATATACAAAAATCAACTCAAGATGAATTAAAGCCTTAAATGTAAAACTTGAAATTTTAAGAAACCCTTGAAGATAACCTAGAAAATACCATTTTAGACATGGGAACTAACTAAGATTTTATGATGAAAATACCAAAAGCAAAAGCAATCACAACAACAGCAAAAACTGACAAATGGGACCTAATTAAATATCTTCTTCACAGCAAAGGAAATATCAAGAGAGTAAACACACAACCTACAGAATAAAACAAAATATTTGCAAACTATGCTTTTGACAAAGGT